ATATTTTATTGGACCTAAGCTGGAAAAACAAATATGAAGATCAATTAAATGATCAAAGCTGAGGTAAATTTCTCCTGTTTTAGTTTAATTGGTGCATTTTAGGTGTATTTATTTATTTATTGGTCCTTTTTATATATTTCTGATTTTATTTCTAATTATGGCGGTGTTGGTGCTCCATACTCCGCAGGACAAAAAAGACCAAACCTGGCTTTGGTTCTGAAGCGTTCTCTTCTTTCCTTTTCGCTTTTATTACAGATTTTATGTCCTCGCTCGTGCGAACAGACCCTCGGCTTGTTTCTCCTTCAGTTTTTCTCGGCTGCTTACAGCAGGTCTTTGGGGCGTCTCAGACGGTTGCCGTGGCGACGAAAGGACGAGCTGTTTGTCTGCGTCTCACTGGAGCTGAAACGTCCCACCTTCACTGTGAAGCTGGGGGGATTCTTTTATTTATTTACTTAGGAGGTCACARATTACCCAGGAGAGTTCTGAATCGGTCTAAAGCCTGGAACAGCTTGAACAGATATATATTTATATATTTTTTTAAAGCGCTGCTGGKTTTTTGTCTCCGGCTCACAGCTGACTGGCTCGTGGGCCGGTCGCCATGGAAACTGGATGGCGAGGTGTGAAGGGAGAGAGAGGACTGAATGCAGATCGAGGTCGTGGTCAGTTTCAGCTCGCTGTGACGCAGCGGCCGGTCCGGTTTCGTCCRCGCCGCACGCCGGCTCCTCGCAACACCGACCTCCAGTCATGTGATGCGGTCGCCACGGCAACCGGGCCGAAGCTGCAGAAATGGCTCGGGTCCAGTTTTATTCGACTTCCTGAAATCTGGTCCTGTTTGAGGAAAATAAAACCTTTTTACCTTGAAACTTTACTGTCGCCTCCTTCTCCTTTTATATTAATGATGGTTTCTGTTTGTTTTCACGCTGTGTTCGTCACAAATATCAGTTTAGAGGTTTTAACGCTGCAATAAAAGACTTTAAAACATAACAAACCTACAGAGTTTTATTTAAAGTGCTCTGATGTCAAAGTTTTGATGTGAAACAAGCTGAACTCTTGTTGAAACTAAATCAACTGGAGGTCAAAGGTCAAACTGCGGCTCTGAAGAGACACAAATTGGAATAAAAACCGCAGTCGGGTCAAGAAAACAGAGCTTCTTCATCCTCCTCTTCCTCAGACAGGAAATGCCAGCGGAGCAGCAGATCACAGCGACCAGACGCAGCAGGACCGTTACAGAACTGGGTCCTGGAGGGAGAGGTCAGAGGTCACACAGGCCCAGCTGGACCCAGGACAAAACACCAGGACCTGTATTTATCAAACTTAGAGCGGATTTTTAGACTTRAGKGCTGAAAATGTCTTAGATTTGCTCCAACTCTCAGACTTAASTGTAAGTACCAGTTATCAAAAGTCTTCAGTCTAAGAATCACTGTTACTCTGAAGAAAAGTTCAGACTGATCCAGAGGACTCTTCAGTGGTTCAGAGTTTCCTCTAGAGGTCTGAGATGAACTGAAGACAGATCACAGCTGTCATCCTCCCCACCTGACTGTTATTCTGTTATAAACTGGTTTAATCTGAAATATACAAAAGAAACAAAGGTAAAATATAAAAAAACTGTGCATAATGTTGGACTAAATTTACTCAGCTGGTGAGTGCATGCCCCCCCCAAAAAAGAAAAAATTAAAATTACGGTGGGATTGAACATTTCGTTTATTAGATTAACAATCACGTGATACAATGATGGAGCTGGGGGGGGGCTCCTCTTGGACCAAGCTGGTAATGATGGAGCGGGTTGTGTGTGTGTGTGTGTGTGTGTGTGTGTGTGTGTGTGTGT